TGTTACCTGGAGTGCAGTGGTGTGATCTCAGCTCACTGCAAACTCCTCCTCCTGGGCTCAAGTGATTCTTATGTCTCAACCATTTAGTAGTTGGGACTACAGGCATGCACCACCACACCCGGTTAACTTTCATATTTTTGGTAGAGACAGGGTTTTGCCATGTTGGCCAGGAGGGTCTGGAACTCCTGAGCGCAAGTGATCTGCCCGCCTTGGCCTCCCAAAGTTCTGGAATTATAGGTGTGAGCCACTGTGCCCACCCAAACATAGATATTTTATAGTCTCTTTTATAGTCAGTTGTTTCTAGTTCTGAAGTATATAAATTCTCCAGATTATTGGATATCCTCACTCTTGCTCATGTGATTTGTGTGACTGATAATTTTTATTTATAATATCGTACACTTTAAAAAATTATAATATTGCGATCTTAATTTCTACCCTACTGTGGGATTAGTGTGTATTCTCTGGAAAGGCTTTATATTTGTCTCTGCCTGGTCTCTAATGTTTCAACAGCCTTAAGCTGCTCTTTGTTAATTTCTTGGCTTTGGCTCCCTGAATCACATACATAACTGAAATTCAGACTCAATTCCCATGTGGATATAGGCTGTTTTACTTTATCTAAGGAGAGGGAAAAATATAGCCAGGATCAGTAGTCCACGTAAGCCACACTGTCATGTTTTCAGAGTCTTAGATCTTTAAAGGCCTCTCTCAAGTTTGACAGCTTAGACTAGATTAAAATTACTTAAATCTTAAAATACTTATATTTTAGACAGTTGCTTTCTGTTTTTAAAAGTTTGTATAAAACCTAGTTTTTAAGACATATTAAAGCTCAAAGATGGTATCATTGGTAGAAACAGAGCTTCTAATAATGTTCACAGCAGTACATTCCTATAACATTTTCAGAAAATTTCTATAAATAGACTGTTTTTAACTGTAGATTAAACTATTATGACCTTGGTACTAAGATACAAGATGAGTAAGACCCAATCCTTTCAATGAGATAAAGGTCTAATCGAAAAGAGAGATGAAGAGGCAGACAAGTGTGGAACTAGCTTATTCGTTTGTTTATTCATTTATTCTTTCATTCATTTAACAAAGTTAGTTATCTGATATGTGCTTGGTATTGTTCTAGGTGCTGGGATACAGCAGAAAATAAAACCTTCACAAATGATTTACAACACGGAGCTTACATGTAGTGTGATTTTAGTGATACGAAGAACGTTCTCTGGAAATTCAAAGAAGGAATATTAACAGTTTTGTATTCCTACCCTCAACTGTGCCTGTTGTCTTCATGTAGACACCTTTTGTTTTATCTTTTTCAGAAAATAAGCCTCAGTTTTTTCTAGGTACTGGAAGGGGGTATCATCTGACTGGGTGAGGGATAGCTTTTTAAACAGTCTTTCAGCCAAGATTTCTAGTTTTAGTTCATTTCATTACAGAGGTTCCTGGAGCTGACAATTCCTGAGACTTTATGTGTCGTTTGGTGTGTATTGAATTGCTTCTTCTTGGTTTTCCTTATTGACAGTTTAGGAATCAAACTTTTAAGAATCTGCTACGCTAGTTGCCACCCTCTATTTTCTGGCTTTCAGAATTGTGTTGGTTATTTCCTTTTAAATTTGTTCTGTGAAATTTCTTTACTGTTACTTTAATGACTTTATGAACTAAGATTGAATATGTGTGTTCAGTCTACCATCTTTACTTCAAATTCTAATTGAATTGTGCTTAATCTTGTTAATCTATAGTAGGTATAAGAAATATTTTATTTTCTTCTATCATATATGTGTGTAAATATATACATATTTAATTAATCACAAAACATGAAGAGAATAGAACGTTATAAAATGTTGGGTAGGAGGCACAATACTTTTGTTTCAATTTTGTCTTTAGTATACACTTGCATTGTGATCTTTGGGCAAGCTACCTTATCTCCTTGAAATTCAGTTTTATTACTTGAAAAATAGGAATTTTGGCTAGGTGCAGTGGCTCATGCCTGTAATAGCAACACTTTGGGAGGCTGAGGTGGGCAGATTGCTTGGCTCAGGAGTTCAGGACCAACCTGGGCAACATGACGAAACCTGGTCACGCAAAAAATACAAAAAATTAGCCGGCCGTGGTGGCACATGACTGTAGTCCCAGCTACCCAGGAAGCTAAAGTGCGAGGATCACCTGAGCCTGGGAAGTCAAAGCTGCAGTGAGCCGTGATTGTGCCACTGCACTCCAGCCTGGGCGACAGAGTGATACCATGTCTCAAACAAACAAACAAAAAGAAAGCTAGGAATGTTGATGATACCCACCTTATTAGGGTTGTTGGTTAAGATCAGTTGATAATTTCAAAGCACTATATAAGCTTTAGGGGTTTTAGTACCATGCCACTTATTCAGAATTAATTTTATTAATAATACAGTGTATCTGAGAATTGAGAAGTAAGTTTAAAAGTCTGTGAACAATAAAAATAGGTATTATATATTCTGTATGTGAAAATCCATACATTTTGTTGGTAGATCCTCAATCAGACCCAGAATCAATTTTTTATTTCATACCTGGTTTTACCAAGTTTGATATCTATGAAACTGAATCATAGATCAGTTAGATATGATAGAGTCTAAAGTTCAAGCTAGACTTGATAGAGTACAACTTTATTCTTCCTCACTATTGCCCTTTAAAAGGGCTGTGTTGACTTTCCTATTTCTTTTATTGGACAATATACTGGTCATATCACATAGCTTCTTTTCATTCACTTTCAGATACTAATAGTTTTATTTTTAGATACCCAAAAGTCTAGCCTAAACTAAATAGAAACTATAATCTCTTGTTGAATTAAAAATTTCCCCCTTACCCTGGTTTTGCTGATTTGGCTCTAGAACCTATTGAGGCTCAGGAGACATATTTGCTGCTTCTTTACTCTGCTACTCCCTCCTCTTCTAATCACGAGGCAGCTTTGCAGTGGAGTTATGTAAGGGACAGGAAAGATCTTCTCAACGGGTGCAGTGGTCATTTGGCTTTGATGTTTCTTGGGTGCAGCAGATGCCCCGTGTTGGCTTCTAGTTGACTGCTTTAATCTTTGCTTTTTAGCTGGGGACTTTCCATTGTGCCTTTTATTGATTCGGGGGGTATTACTTTAGCTGGCTGCTTATGATTCCCCTTTAGCTAATTCTGGTAGGGTGTGCCCCCAAAGACTCTCTTCAGTGGAGTTATCTGGTCCCACATGCAGACCTCTCTGAGAGGGCCTTTTCAAGACAACCAGCCTAGCTGCCTTGCATGGAATCTCCTTCACCCTTGAGGAACATGCAATCTTGTCGAAGTAGAATTTGCTTGTACTTTAATTCTCTTTACTCACTCTAGTCTTTCACCTTTAAACTTTCCAGGCAAATATCAGGCTCTGGTCTTTTTGTTCTCTAAATTGTAAGACACCCATGTCCAGTTGTTCTCTCTAAAATGTCTCATTTGACTTTGAGGAGGAGAGTTCAATAAAAATCTAGGAAATAAGTTATGGTGGTAAAATTATTTTCTGCTCACAAAAGGAAAATAATCTGATGAATTAATTAAGAATTCAAATGGACAGTCTTCCTCCCCTGCAAGTTCAAACATTGAGTGTACATACAGCTTAATAAAGAAGTGAATTGTAGTCATGCTGATTTGAAATTGACATACTTTATTTGGTCAGTGGCTGAGTCTACATGTAAATTTCAGGATCCTAACTTGTCATTCTCCTTGAATTATTTTCAAAGTTAGAGTATATTAACTAAATATATACCTCTAAATTTCCAGTTTTATATATGCCTCATTTGATTGGTCATTAGAGCAGGATAGTTTGTATTAGGAATTTTACCTTCTGTGTATCTGCAGCGGCACCTTTTGTTTTCTTTGGTCATAGCAAATTGGCATCATTAACAGGAGAATCCTATGACTTAAAAGAAAAATATACTCTCTCACAGCTCTGGAGGCCAGAAGTCTGAAATCATGATGTCAAGGGGTCACTCCTTCTGGAGGCTTTAAGGGAGGTTCCTTTCCATGCCTCTCTCCTGGCTTCTGAGGATTGTCAGGATTGTTAGCCTCCCCCGACTGGTAGCAGATCATTCCAGTCTCTGCCTCCATCTTCACTTGGCACGTGACATTTAGTTATTATCCAAAGTATAAACTTTATAAGCATGTGTTAAAAATTATAAATGTATAATTTTAGATGGCTAAAGTTTTCAAAAACCAAAGGCACGAGAATAGTAATATGAAATAAGAAAAAGCAAACTATTTCTTAAACTATTTGACTCAGAAAATTTTCTTCTTTCTGTAGCTGTTGGAAAAATTAGAGGAAAGCCTCTTCCATTACTCTTATTTTTTGAGGCCCTCTTTATCACAAGTCATGCTTTTCGACGTCCTGTTGATGCAGCTCTAACCCTGGAAGGAATCAAATGTGGATTATCAGAAAAACGGTTAGATTTAGTTATCAATTGGGTTACACAGGAAAGGTAAGCAACGTTAAGCTTTTAACTCAATTTTGACATTTGGTTATAAAGTTGTTTGCTCTAAAAATATTAATAATTTTCTTATCAATACATTATTTGGACATTTGCTTCAGGTCCCTATTGCAATTAATCAGAAAGTGTTTAGTGGTTGGGTATGGTGGCTTATACCTGTAATCCTCGCACTTTGGGAGGCCGAGGTGGGAGGATCACTTGAGGTCAGGAGTTCAAGATCAACTTGGCCAACATGGTAAAACCCTGTCTCTACTAAAAATACAAAAATTAGCTGGGATGGTGTCGCACAGCTATAATCCCAGCTACTCAGGGGGCTGAGGCAGGAGAATCGCTTGAGCCTGGGAGGCAGAGGTTGCAGTGAGCTGAAATCGCACCACTGCACTCCAGCTTGGGTGACAAAGCGAGACTCTGTCTCAAAAAAAAAAAAAAAGTGTTTTCTAAGAATTCATGGAGTAATGAGGCCCAGTCACAATGAGCCCAGATCGAGAGTTGATTCTTGACAGTTCTCAAGATGATTCATTATGACTTAATGGTGGATGGAAGTTGAGCAATGAAGATAGAGAATTGGTGAGTATCACACTGCTGGGAGGGAAAAGGCAGGAACCTAGTTCTAGGCAGGATGTGAGCAGATATAAAGGTAAACCCAGAGATAACATATAAGCCAGAAGGACATGGACTGAGGTCGCATTTAGAACATACAAGCCAACACAGATGGGCAGGAGGTGGCTTCTTGGAGCTGGGTCTCAGTACTGATTGGCAAGTTTGTTCAGGGTTCTCTTAGGTTACGTTCCCTAGAGCCAAAGCCTGAGACAGGAATTTGGATGCCTGTGATTGATAGATGGAGGGCTTCTCAGGCAATACCTAAAAGGGAGTGAGTGAAGCAGAACAGAGAAGGGGAAAGAGCCAACCAAGGATGTGGCCTCAGGAAAAAGTCTACTTTTGGCTTATGATGACTCTGGAGCATAAACCATGATACAGAGCTGTTCTGTGAGGCTAGGGCCTGCCTCTTGTTTCTTTCTGTCAATCGGTCAAGGGCTCTGAGCTGCCTGGAGAGGGTGGGAGCACTAGCCAAGAACAATTGCTGTAGAGGAGAGGCACCTGTGAGCCATTGACAGTCAATACTCAGAGCTGCAGGGGAAGGGTACACTGCCTAGTAAGGAGGATTTCAGTAAGGAGGACGCCCTAAAGCAACATCTATCCCAGTCAGCCATTTGCACAACACAGATCTATTTGTCTCTTTCCTTCTCACATTAAGTTCACTGTATCTCGACACAGCTTCTCCAAGATTCCGTGGTCATAATTCCTGAGAAAACTCACTGCTGGAGGAAAAAGGCAGAAACCTGCTTTTATACAGACTGTGAATACATGTAAAGGATAAGTAAGCCCTTTACATGGGAGGGATAGCTACAGCTGGTCCTAAATCTAGGTTTTTTTACAACTTTATTGAGTTATAGTTTACATAGAATAAACTACATATATTTAAAGTGTACAATTTGATGAGGTATTTTTTCTTTCTTTCTTTTTTTTTTTTCCTTTCTTTAGACAGAGTCTCACTCTGTCCCCCACGCTGGAGTACAGTGGCTCGATTTCAGCTCACTGCAACTTCTGCCTCCTGGGTTCAAGGCATTCTCCTGCCTCAGCCTCCTGAGTATCTGGGACTACAAGTGTGCACCACCACACCCAGATAGTTTTTGTATTTTTAATGGAGACAGGGTTTTGCCATGTTGGCCAGGCTGGTCTCGAACTCCTGACCTCAGCTGATCTGCCCGCCTCAGCCTCCAAAAGTGCTGGGATTGCAGGCATGAGCCACTGCACCTGGCCTTGATGAGCTTTTCAAAAACCAGCCTTACTGGGATATAATTGACATACATTAAACCACACATATTTAAAGTGTAGGATTTGACAAGTTTTGTCATGTACATATACTCATAACATCATCACCATAATTAAGATAATAAACATATGTTTCCTGATGTCCTTTGTAATGCTTCCTCCTCCATCCTGTCTTCTCAGTCCACTCTACTCTATCTCCAGGTAATAACTTATCTGCTTTCTTTCTGTCACTATAGATTAGTTTGTATCTTCTAGAATTTTAAATAAATGAAATCCTATAGTATATATTCTTTTTTTTTTTTTTTT